CATTAAGCTATTTGAAAATGTAAGGTAAATAATATTAATCATAAATTTATAAATAAAAAATAAATATTAGTAAGTACATTAAGCTATTTGAAAATGTAAAGTAAATAATATTAATCATTAATTTATAAATCAAAAATATATATTATAAGTACATTACGGTAAATTATAAATTACAAATTAAAAAATAATGAATTTTCTTACTTGAATATAGCTTTGTATCTTCTTCTTGGCTCGTCAAGCGCCATTATGATAAATAATATAAAAGTTTTAATTATGAGTTAAATATGTTTTTAGTCTCAGACAAATATTTCAAAATCTATTTTTAATTTCTAAAATATTTTCGTTTAAAGAATTGTTTTCATAAAATTTTTTATCTCTATTTTTAGTTTCTGCTGTCTATTCCTCTTAACAGAATCTTAAGTAGACGTTGATTTGACATTTTTATTTTATTTTGAAAATATGAGTTGCTGATTAAGCAGATGCCACGTATTTATAGTTTGCTGAATAAATAGGTATAGTTGAAAACCTTAAATTAAACTTTCACTCTTTCTTGTTCAAGCAGAGGTTCGTTCTCAAAAATTTTTCCCTTTCTTCTTCAAACTAATGCTAATTTCTTGTTTGCAGATAGTTGTAGCCATTATTAATCGCGTTTGGCATTGTGGTTCCAGACCGGGCTTGAAAGGTGCATTGTGGTCCTTCGACATTGAAACTATCGAGGTAGGTCCACATGTTTTAACTTTACATTCTTTTTTATTGAAGTTTGGTTTAGGGCTTGTCTTTTACTTGCAGCATATTTAGTTAATAGGGTTTTCTGCATATAAGTGTTTTGTGGGTCCATAGTTGACCGTCCTTTTTCATCCATTATGTAGGCATGAGTGTCTTTCAGGTAGTATTTTACACAAAGGGCTGTATTGTAAAAGACCCAATGTTAAAGTATGAAGGTGGGGAAGTTTATGTATTTAATGGTCAGGATAGCGATTGTTGGTCCTTTTTTGAGGCGTGTGATTTAATTAAGGGAATGGATCCTGAGTTTGAATACAATAATGTTAGGATGTGGTGGAAATATGGTGATGGCACTTTAGAAACTGATCTAAAACCATTTAGGGATGATGGTGATGCATTTGAGATAGTTGCCTTTGTTCAAGAATGCAAAGGTGATGTTGAAATATACACTGAGTCTAAACCAACTACAGGGGATGCAACGTTTATAGAGAATGCAAGAAAGAGGAACAAGGGTATGAGTCAGTGAAGGATATCAAATTTGATGATGGTGAAATAGGTGAAGATGATGTTGAGTCATGTACCGATGATGGTTCTAGTGATGGTTCAGTGAAGGATATCAAATTTGATGATGGTGAAGAAGAAAGGATGAAAGATTTTGATGAGGCTTTTGATGGTCAGCCCACAAACATATCTACTGCAGATGTTGCAGACTCTAGTGAGGCAGTGAAACAAAGTTTTATTACACCAGAGATGGGTAAGGAACATGTTATTGAAGACGAGTATATGACTGATGAGCTTGATAATGGTGCTGAAGATTACAGTGGTGATGATAAGCCACATGTTTTTAGGTTCAATGAGGAAGATGTGATTACAAAGGAATATAAGTTCAAGGTGTGAATGAAATTTTATTCATTAAAACAGTTCAAGAGTGCTATTTTAGAACATAATATATTGAATGTGAAGGATGTCAGATTTGAGTGCAATTATAACTATGTTTGAGTGAATTAGGTCTTATCTTATGGGTAGGTTTGCAACCTTAAGAAAAAAAGTTAATAGGTATAAGGGTAGGATCTTGTCAAAACCATTCAAGAGATTGGATAAAGAGATTGAAAAGAGTGCAAGTTGTACATCAACCTTATGTTGGACAGTTGACATTCCAAGTTACATACGTCATGTTAACTGATAGTTTTGTGGTTGATTTGGATAACCAAACATGCTAATGCAAGTTTTGGGATCTTATAGGAATTCCATGTAGACATGCAGTTTCTGCAATCCTTAAGAAAGTTGATGATCCCATTAATTATGTCCATAAGTGCTATCATACCTCTACTTATGTCAAGTGTTATCAAGAAGGTATCACTTCTTTGAATGGACAAAATAAGTGGCACAAAATCAATGATCCTGTCATTTACCCTCTTATATTCAAAAGAGGCCCAAAGAGGCCAACAAAAATTAGAAGAAGGGAACTTGATGATTCAAATTCAACTAAGTGGCAAAGAACAAATACTCTCATAGGTGCAAGACATGTTTGGAGTATGGTCACAACACTAGGACATGTAAGAAGAGCAAACAAATTGTTCTACACAAAAAATAAAATATAACAATAACTGAAATACCTACACAGGCAAGTCAGAACGGAAATGTTCAAATGACAACATCAAAAAAAGTTAGTCTAGTGTTTTTTATTCATATTCTCATATGCTTGTTATGTGTATTTTATTAGTCTTTGTATCATGCTTTTCAGGGGAGACTAAGAGGTCATTGAATATGAAAGGCAAAGGGGCTCCAAGTAAGGCACCAAGTTAGGCACAAAGTAAGGCACCATGTTAGGCACCAAGTTAGGCACAAAGTAAGGCACCGAGTCAGACACAAAGTAAGGCACCAAGTCTATGGCAACCTGTAGTGATCCTGTAAGTTTCGTCATACCTGCTAATATTTCATTGCTTTTTCTGTCATTTAAGTTTGGTCATGAATGCTAATTGACAATTTAGGTCAAGTTTATGGCTACAAAGAAGAAAGTCCCAACAATTGTGATGCATACTAAAAAGAGTGAAAGACTCATGACTATAAAAACAAAGGACACCAAGGGGTCTGGAAGACACCCTGAAGATCCAGTTGTACTCATTGAAGAGGATACCTCAAAACAACCAATCAAGAGGGGTAGAAAAAGTTGGGACGAAATTCAAAAAGTTTTAACTCAATAAAGATGTAATTTGAAGACTTCGAATATTAAAGTTATATCTCTTAGCAATGACTTCTATTTTGCAAACCTTAAGTTGTATCCATAAGTGTATTTTGAAGACTTTGAATTACTATGTTTTAGGGTTATTCTGTAATCTATGAGCATTGACTTGTAATTTTGTTTAGGCTACAATCTAAGACCATGTATTGGATCATTTTGGGTATGTTATTTTAATGAATCTATTTCATGTCAGTTTGTTGTCAGGTTGTTTGTCAATATGCCAATGTTGTAGGCCATAGTATGCCAAAATTGAGGCAAAGTATGTCAAAATTTAGAAGTCACTATGCAAAAATTTAGTCATTAATCACAGGGATCAAACACAATTCCATTACATTGATCTAACATAATTCCATTAGAAGCAGATTGAAAAAGATTCATTACATTCATCAAACACAATTACATTAGAAACAAATTGAAACACATTCATTACATTAGTCAAACACAATTACATTGTACCAAATTTTAGAAACACAGTTACATTGTACCAAATTTTAGAAACACAATGATCAAACACAATTCCATAAGAAGCAATTTGAAACACAATCATTACATTGATCAAACAACCTTACTTCAACTATTACATTTCATTATTAGGTAGACATTAATCATAAAAGAAACTACAAAACAGAAAAACTTGATTTTTCCAGCCCATGCCTCTGATCTCAATTTCGCTTGCAGCTTCATGTTCTTCTTCTTAGAACCTTCGTACAACTCCCTCATCAGTTCAATCGTCTCCATTTTTTCAGCTTGTAGTTTTCTACCTGTTCAACACCATTAACATCTTTTTCAGCCAAATCTTCATCCCATATGAATAAATCACAAGCTTCTTCACTCTACCAAAATTGACATCTCCAAAAAAGTCTGTCTTTATTGTGACCATTCTTGCAGACGTATGAAACCATACGAGCTTCTCTACCAAAATGGACATCTCCAAAAAAGTCTGTCTTTATTGTGACCATTCTTGCAGATGTATGAAACCATATGAGCTTCACAACCACTATTTCTTCCTCGACATCATCTCACATAAGACGAAGAAATGCTCCTAGATTTCATAGCACTTGTTCTCGAATACGATATCAATCTTTCTTTCATGATGAAGTTTTGTCTGCAATTAAATCACATATAAAGAAGAAAGACGTCACAAAGTTAAAAGGGGGAACGTAAAGAGGATGAAGACGAAAGGGAATTAGATTACAATTCTAATTACACAAAGGTACGACAAGATAAATCCATTTACACATATGGTAATCACTACTTGTCCAATTAATTTAAAAAAAAATCCAAATCAGCGTTCCCATAGAATTCCATTAACTGGAATAGACGACAAGGACAAAAATAGGGACGGAAAACTTTAAGAGGACGATTATTTGAACAAAAATATTTTGGGGACTAAAACTAGATTTTGAAATACTTACATAAACATGTAACATATTTAACCCTAAAAACTATATGACTTTTCTGAAGAAAATAAAAAGACTAAAGAAATAAAGAACACTTATTAGCACCATACATAATATCTTTCAAATAATAAAAGAAAAGATTTTTTCTCTCCTCATTATGCTTCTGCCCCATCTTCCATCTTTTCTTCTTATTTTCTCCTGTGTTGTGCATGAATTATCAAATGAAGTATAAAAGAAAATAAACTTATTGTAACTTGTATGTTTATTTTGTATTCTTCTGTATTTGTTGTGCATCACAGGCACCCTAGCATTATTCTGCAGTCCTAGTTAAGCACTGCTCAGAGAAACACATAGAATAGAAAGAAAGAAAAAAAAGCTAAACATTTACAGTTTGAAATGCACTCTGTCATATTATGCAATCAGCGGCCTAACATTTACATATCGATGACATATGTCAGCGTAAATCGTTGCGAACTGAGAAGTTCATCTATCTGAGCCACTGCGCTTGGGCTGAACAAAGAGGAAAGAGCATTAATATATCGGGAGTCTTCAAACTTGGTCAACTTATATCTTCATTAGAGATGAAATTGCAAGAATCAAGTTCATATAATGAAATATTACTTGGAAAGATATTTCTACCCCCACAATTGTGTTAGGCCAACTTCAGGATCTGATTGAAACCAATAGTCACCATCAACCTGCAAAAATATAAATAAAATGAATCAATATACTTTGAGCTGAAATTTCATTATTATTTTGCAGTTTTTTGGTTTTTAGTTAATCATTTAGAGCTTCTATTCATACATCCAAATCCGTAGGAGTAATTTGTTGAATTCCAAAAGCCTCTGAGCCTTGCAAACTTAAACTCCCAGAAGGGTTTTTCTGATAACCTCGGCTTTCTAATAATCCCACACCCTCCGTTCTGCTGTGGTTGCTACTCCACGATGGGTCCATTAACTCTGCCTGGTCGACACTCACATCCTCTAACCTGTGGTCGTGCTTGCTTCAAGCATGTAAAAGATCAGTTTAAGACACACGAAATAAGGATTTTAAATCAACAATGAAAAAGGATATTAACAAGCAAGCGTTGAGAGAAACAAAGTACTAATGGAGAAGCAAATTTAGGGTGCAGTGTTACAGAAGAGAAGTACTTCAAGAGGTACAGATTTATCGGTCCAGTTGCACTTCTAATGATCATTCTGTACTGCCTTTGGTGAAAGCCTAATTCCTGTTCATTTAAGTGAGAAGTCAATAAGAAACTTGTTATACCACATATTTTAACATCCATATAAGTTGAATCCTACCTCATCCGGATCGGGGACCTCAATGAAACTAGCTTTCGGAGCTTTGATTGCAATAAGTTGCTTATTCTGTAAAGATAGTTTAAAAAGTGAGTGATAATAACAGAAACACAAAGGTTATACAAAGTTCAATTTTTGGAGAAAATTGACCTGGAAGCATGGAAGAGTAAGAATATCTTCCTTGGTAAAGAAAAGGTACCTAATGATCAAGCAAGCCCACTATCATGTAAGGTAGCAGTAAGAAATCACAACTACATTAAAAAAGTTGTCAACTCAGAAGTTCTTACTTTCCGGTGTTTTCACCTTCTTCCAGGTTTCTGAGAAGCTCCTTCCTTTCGCTGAGAATTGACATAATAAAATTCAATATAAAACAAATAGGTAAAAAATATCATAAACAATACTGGTAGCAACTAACAAACCTTATACACTCCTCAAGTTTGAATTCCTCAGCATATAAACTTTCAACTTCAGCCTGTAATGGATCAAATTGTCAGAGTTGGACTAAACCATTTCCATACTGCAGAGCATTAATTTATTAAAAATGGAGCTTAAATCCTACATGCAACATTCATTTTAAATCATAGTAAAAGTGATAATCAATTTCACGGGTCCAAAGCTCAAGCAGAAGCTAGCTATTAGTTTACAACCTCTCCTACTCAATTGCACAGGTAAATATAATCCATGAAGCAGGAAGATCAAATGATTCACTTCCACAATCTGCAATTTATAAGTGGTCCTGATTTAAAAAGTATCATATGTTCTAATCATATTTGGCATTTATCTTACTAGTTATTGATAAATCATGTAGAATTACTTTTATTATTATTTGGGTTTGATGGGGCATACACAGTCCGTGTAAAACAATTTTCCACCAAACACAAATAAGAGGCCACCATACTTCCAAATCATACTACTAATTTCAAAATACTCTTACAAAAGTGGGGTGTTGTAGCAACATAGTGGATTTTCATTGGGTGTCAGCGTGAAAATGTTCTACACTAATAGTGCAAATCCTTTAAATCATAATACAGAAACGAGAAATTCCTAGGTGCAATGTCTAATCATATGACTAGAAATATGATGCGAAGTAGATAAGACTCCTGAAACCAATGACTTAGAAGAAACCTAAATAGGTTTTCAAAAATATGGTAATGAAAAACTGAGAGGAGATGCTTACATTCCAAATTAATCATGCCAGCTGAGTAAAAGCAGGAAAAGTAGAAATGTAGAAGGCATAATAACTAACTGACACAAGTAATAAAAGATTGAAAAACCTTTAGAGAATTAACTTGACCCTCTAGTTCTCGTGGCCCAATTCCATCACATCCTCTGTTAATAAAAGACCACCATGTATCATTATTTAATTTCATTTACATGATAAAAAGAAACCCAGTAAATACCAAACAAACAGATTAGATATTTACTTCCACCGTATATGGTTCTTTGAAGTTTTCTCTATCAATCCTATTCCTTCAAGAACATTTGTAATGTCATAAATTCTCCGTTTTTGAACCTAATAAGATGAATGTTAAAGCACAGGTAAGTCAAGCTCAAACTCTTTCCTGCGAATAGGAACCATCGGGCATATACACAATGAAAGACAATTCGTATACCTCTAAGACCTCAGCAGTTTTATTTAGATCAAGGGTACCATCCTTAGCGTTTTGGATCAAGCTGACAAATTTCTTGGTTAACAATCCTGCAAATGTAATTGTTTAAATCAAGGGTACACAATGTAATTGTTTGTCATAAAGAGCCAAATTAACAAAAACACTCGCTTAAAAGAGTATGGCGGAGGAATGCAGACTATTGGAGCAAGTACAAAGTGTACAAAAGGAGAAAAGATCACTCGAGTGTGGACGTACCTAAGGAACTGTCATAACGACAGTTGTTTACTGCCACTGCATTCAGTGATTCTGATACAAAAAATCCACCAAACATAAAAAAATAAAAAATAATGTGAGAATTGAGTTACTACTGACATACAAATCAATGCACAATTTAACTTACTCATACCAACATTACGAAAAAGTTACCTCCATTTGTCATCTGAGCCGCTGCAGATTTTGAATTTCTAGAAACTTTTGATTTACCATTATGCTTTCCTCTTTGACTGGGTTCGATTTGAAGAAGAGGAGGAAGATTAACCGAGTTGCTCGGACTGGGAAACGCCTCAACATTACTAGCATGCAAGTTGACATTATTGATTCCGTTTCTTTGACTCAACTACACAAATAGTTCAATTGAATGCAAACAATTAAAGTAAGAGAAAGTGCATTAATTAAACGAACTAATATCTGTCAGAAACTTACTCTACATTCAAACATTCATTAAACCTTAATCAAACACTATAACAGTCATTTAAGCTGAAAACACAATTCAAATATAACCGATCAATTTGTATAACACCGAACAAAACAAACATTAAAAAAGACACTAAAATTCATATAACTGATCTATTCAATGATCTCAACTGAGCCTAGAATGGTTCTAACCTATTTAGCACTGACACTTCTGGAAAAAGGTGTGTTTGTGTCAAGTATCCGAAATCGATACCGACACTTGTAATTACGATTAATTTATTCATTTTCTCAAATTATTACTCGATGTATGAGTGTCGGTGCCGTGTTTCATAGGTTCTAACAATCCTTCCTATGACTTAATTAATTTCCACTTCAAATTCAGGTTATCCAATTCACTGGACCAACTAATCTGGTTCGGGGTCAGCTCTAGCTGGCATAATGAGTGGTTTCAGCCCCTCCCAATCGCAATCGCGGAGGATTGAACCTTGATCCTACCTTCCAAGTCCAGCGCCAATACCACAATTGGTTGTGCAATCGTATTTTGTTTTTGCTTTCTATAATTCTTAATAATAATAATGATAATTGGAATAAAAATTGACCAATAAATTAATAGAGTAAGAGTAATTATGATAATGAACAATAAATTCAGAATTTAGAGAATATACGACCCGATCTTGTGATTTGATAAAATAAATAGAAAAATAAAATTGAGAGTGCATGTGAGTGTGAGTGAATGGATGAAGAACTTACGGGAAGCATAGGAGTAAAAGGAGGAAGATGAGGAGGGTTAGGGGAATGCAATAGGTCGAATTTGAATTGCGAAAAATGGTGAAATTGATCTTCTCGTGGTGTCGTCATGAATGAAATTGAATGGAGAAGAATGAATGAGGAAGAATATGGAAGTAGAAGAAGAAGAAGAAGAGAGTGAGTGAGGGTTTAGCGGCAGAGAATTGGATTGAATTTGAGGGGGAAGAAAGAGTGAGGTGAAATTGTAGAGATGGAAATAACGTAAACAAGTGTGATGTGATTTGATATTGATTCTCTCTTAATGGAAGTGAAGTGATGTGTTGTCATGTGAGGCCGCCAATGCCAATTTAACAGAACAAGCGGTGGTGTCTTCAGTTCGAATGCGTACGCCACCCCGCCTTTTGTTTTTGGTTTTCTCTCTCTTAACGGGCCTAGGCCTGGGCTTTTTGTACCTTATGGGCCGCCGAACTTTTCTTTTAGGATATGTATGCAAGTTTATTTTTGGAAGGTTTTAAAGAAATAACTTGAATAATACTCATATTTTATATTTATATATAGAATGGGAAAAAATTCCCTAAACTATATATGGGAAAAGGAAAGAAGATTCTTATATTTTATTTTTCCTTGCTTTTTAGTTCAATCCAAACTAAATTCATGCACATTTTATGTTTAATGTGCCTTTAAAATTGATCAAATCCATTGTTTTGTAGATTTTATTTTTTATCCTTTAGAAGAATAGGTGTAGTGGGTAAGAAATTAAACTTGTTCAAAATAAGCATTTAAAACTAAATCAAGAAAATTTTAATTAAATTAGAATAGATCTAATGACTCGTTTTTTTCAGTTTTAAAAGAATAGATTTTTTATTTGTATTTTTAAAAAAATAAAATTTTTATAAAGATATTGTTTAAAATATTAAAAAAAACTGATTTTCATAAATTAAAACATTAATTTTGATATTTAGGATATTTATGCTATTGAATATTAGAACATAATTGAATTCACTTTTTTTCAAATAAATATGTCTAAAAATAATTTTTTATAAAAAAAGTATTCAAAATAATCTCAAATTTAAATGATTTTCTAAAAATTTAAATGATCCAAAAAATATTCAAAAAGATCATTGTATAAATTTCAAATATTTGATCATGAGTGCTTGCTATTTTGGGAGAGATCACATGATTTCCTTCTCATTCTAATTCAATCAATGATTATGAATTTCTAGAAACAAAATCTTCACCCAAAAATAGATTTTTATATTTTTTATTTATTTAAAATGATTTTTATGAATTAAATCAATAATAAATAAATAAAAAATAATAATTTGGGAGAGATCACATGATTTCCTTCTCATTCTAATTCAATCAATGATTATGAATTTCTAAAAACAAAATCTTCACCCAAAAATAGATTTTTATATTTTTTATTTATTTAAAATGATTTTTATGAATTAAATCAATAATAAATAAATAAAAAATAATAATTTGGGAGAGATCACATGATTTCCTTCTCATTCTAATTCAATCAATGATTATGAATTTCTAGAAACAAAATCTTCACCCAAAAATAGATTTTTATATTTTTTATTTATTTAAAATGATTTTTATGAATTAAATCAATAATAAATAAATAAAAAATAATAATTTGGGAGAGATCACATGATTTCCTTCTCATTCTAATTCAATCAATGATTATGAATTTCTAAAAACAAAATCTTCACCCAAAAATAGATTTTTATATTTTTTATTTATTTAAAATGATTTTTATGAATTAAATCAATAATAAATAAATAAAAAATAATAATTTGGGAGAGATCACATGATTTCCTTCTCATTCTAATTCAATCAATGATTATGAATTTCTAGAAACAAAATCTTCACCCAAAAATAGATTTTTATATTTTTTATTTATTTAAAATGATTTTTATGAATTAAATCAATAATAAATAAATAAAAAATAATAATTTGGGAGAGATCACATGATTTCCTTCTCATTCTAATTCAATCAATGATTATGAATTTCTAAAAACAAAATCTTCACCCAAAAATAGATTTTTATATTTTTTATTTATTTAAAATGATTTTTATGAATTAAATCAATAATAAATAAATAAAAAATAATAATTTGGGAGAGATCACATGATTTCCTTCTCATTCTAATTCAATCAATGATTATGAATTTCTAGAAACAAAATCTTCACCCAAAAATAGATTTTTTATATTTTTTATTTATTTAAAATGATTTTTATGAATTAAATCAATAATAAATAAATAAAAAATAATAAAAATGATGAATTTTGGTCAATTGGGTCGTGCACCATGTTATGAGATGGATTGGGTCATAAATTAGGCAGCCCATTTGGAAAGAAATACTTCTAAGCCTCCATTTTCAACATAAACCATCACAAAATTGCCCAACTTTGCAAGGGCACATTTCTCTCAATTTTAAAGGTATGATGGTGTTCTTGGACTTTTTGGAAAGCTTGAAGAGTCCTCTAAACAACCCCATTGGTTTCAGGTCCATATCATTTACCAATCTCAAGTTATGCCCTTTTGAAGTTGTTGACTTTTTGTTGACTTTTGAAATGACCTATAATGTCTTAGATCATATCTTTCAAATAAAGCATTTTTGGGCTTAACCTTCAACATCAAAGTTGTAGAGAATTCAATTTCCTTCAAAATGAGCTTGGGATGGAGACTTGGTGATGAAGTATGTGAAAGTTATGCCTGGTCAAAGTTCAGTTGACTTTTACTAAGGAAACCCTAATTTAGAAACTCCTGATTATTGATGATCTGGAATCTCCTTGATGAATCATGATCAAACCTTGATAAAATGATGAATTTTACTTCATATACTTGATGTTGGCAAAAAATCATGAAGTTTGTCTTTGGTTTGACCACAGTTGACCTCAATTTGACTTTTTAACTGCATTGATTGCTTTTGACTTATCTGATCATCTGACTGAGCAAACTTTTGAGAAAAGTCTTGAAACTTGACATGGGGCATCTTATACACATATAAGATGTTATGAAGCTCACTTGAAGTCTTGGAAGCCCATTTAGCCTGATTAAAGTCAAAACCCTAGTTTTGGATGCACTGCTTAGGAGGTGCATTGTCTGAGGGAATTGTCAACTCTTCTGACCAATTGTGAACTTTGTGAACCTTGTGAATCTTCATAAGATATCTTGTGATACTCATGGGAGGTATTGTGAAGCTTGTGAACCTTGTGAACATCATGAAGTGGCTTTGTAGGCCCCATGACCCTTAGGAAAGCTTTGTAAACATTGTGAATCTTGTGAACCTTGTGAACCTTCAAGAAGCAACCTATGGACTTCATGAACCTCATTGTTGCACCCTAAAATTTGCCCAACCTTATTCCTTGGTTTATGTTTCATCATCATTAGCATTTGCATGTAGAGTCATGTACATAGACTAACCATCTGCATAGCATAAGCATAGCAAGTCATTCAACAGGGGACCAATCATTATTTTCATCTCTAGAGGCCTATCAAGAGGTTATTATCCCAATTCAGTCATATTCAAGTCATCAGGAAAGAATTTGAAAGCAAAGAGTTCAGCAGATCAAGCCTTGAGTCCATCTCCTAGCTGAGGGTATCTGAGGATCAGCAAGAGGGTTGTGAGCTGTGGAGTGAAGGTATGGAGAGCATCTAGACCTTATGAGAGACTTACAAAGTCATTTGGAGAAGAAAACAAGTCATTGATGAAAGCACAAGAGCTATAGTTGAAGACAGTCAACTAGGGTTTCATCTGGGTCAACCCTAGGTCAACCCTAGGTCAATTGACTGACTTAAGAGGGCATTCAAGTCTATTGGAGAGATGTGGGGATCAACATTTGATATATGAAGAAGGATATGGAGATATGACAAGGAAAATTCAAGAGAAATCAAGGAGAAGAGGAGTTACTAAATTAGGGTTTCTCTGTAAAATCCCCTAGTTTAGGTCAAATTTCCAAGCAAGATAAGTCAAAGTGCTAACTTCAAATGGCTTCTTGGCCAACATGAAACTTGTAGAGGATCTCAAGACCTTTAATTTGAGTGGTGGAAGACCTCAAGGAGATTTATAGAACTCAAGTTATGGTCCTTACAAGTTACAGGTCATTTGGGGTGTCTGAGTTTTTGTCTGTGAAAGTGACTTGACTTCCAAGCTAGTTTTACCCCTCAAGGAGATTTCAAATGAATTCTTGGTCAACATAAGAATTGTTCCTCATTGTCTTAGCTTTCTAGAATGGTATGGCATGCCTTCATATGATGTGGAGAACTCAACTTATGGTCTTGACAAGCAAAGGGTATTTTGGGCATTTGTGAATTACAGGTCATTTTAACCTATACCCAAAACTCATACAAGGAGGCCTCAAATGGAAAAACTTACAACATCAAACTTGCTCCAAATGGGATTTTAAGTCTAGAAAGAAGGTCACAAGTTATTGGAGAAGCTCATAGCATGGAGTTGCATGATAGGTCAAAATATGAACTAAAAAGGCTTATAAAGTGAATACTTTCAAGTTGGAAAATGGTTTGGGAGATTTACAAGTCCAAATGGAGACTTCCAATATATGATTTTGAATGGAAAAGCAATTCTAAGAACAATGGTTCACCCACTTTTTTGAGTTTAGAAGGAAAAAATGAAGTTATCCATGGTTGCTTATCATTTAAGAAACATGATCAAAATGAACCAAAGTTGGAAAGCAAGGGAATGTGCAAGATGGATCTAGAATGTTCATTTGGGGCCTATATATTCATGAAATGTGCATTGATCAAGGGTTGGCCTCATTTGTACCAAGAATTTCACAAGATTTCTCACACTTTTTTCATAAAAGTTTCATTCCAAATCTCTCAAATTCTTCATCAATCTTCATCATAATCAATTCAATTTCACTCCATCATCATCATAGATCATAATTGAAGCAAGTTTCTGGTAGTTATCATCCATTTTCGAGTGCTTTTCTCAAGATCATCAAAATTACAAGTTCAAGTGGATTGCATGATTCAAGCAAGGAACCTCCAAGTTTGTGCATACAGAATCAAGTTCCTCAAGGATTGATCAAGATTCAACACTTCAAAGCCTCAGATCTTCCATCTCCATAGCTGTTTGC